AAAACGTGTATACAAGTCTAGTTTAAAATTTTAAAACAAAAGAAATAAAAGAAAAAAGGAGTCATACTCACTCAGTTCTTTGCCAACTGCTGCCACAACACAGTTCTTAGGTATTTCAATCAAAGCACTGATCCCTTCAAAAACACATAAAACAAAGGTCAGATTATTTTCTTCCTGGATTACATCAAAAATAAAAACATTCTCAGATTTATGTCAGTCATTTCCCATAAAGGGGGTGGGAACTAAAGCACACACAATTTTCTATATCACACTTCCTTGCTTGCTTACATATGGAAAATGATTCTGTGAAAAGTAGGTGAGACCTTTGGAAGACATTACTGATTTATTAAGGATAGGATATGCTCTTTGAATATTTTTACTATGGTGAACTTATTCACCAGGGACTCCTTAAGATAATCACCATCACCATTTACAAGATGGCTAGCTCAAATGAGATGTAAAGTTAGCATTTTCCTCAACGTAAACTTAAGAAAACTGGGTGGGCACCCTGGCAGTAAATGAGTTAGCCAACAGTCAACAGCTAAGAAAGTCGCCTTCAAATAGCATATTTATAATTAATCAGTACATTTACAAAATTCGTTGTATTACTGGAATAACCAAATTCAACATTCCATCACATTTCACTTATTAACTATACAGTTCTAAGTATCTTTTTATAGCTGAATCATGAAATGATTTTAGGGTAACCATAACTTCTATAAGATATATTACTACTTTTTTTAAGCAAGAATTTAAAAATTCATGTATTATATTCAAACCCCCCACATATGTGGGCAAAAAACTAGTTTATTAAAGTTAACTTTTCCATTATAAAATACATGTAATTTATAAATATACATGTAATTTGTAACATACATGCAAATTTGGAAAATATTCTATTCATGTGCTTTTTCCTACCTACCCACTTAGGGAGTATTTCTGGCCAAAATCTTTTCTCCACATAGGGTTGTTTTAACAGTAATGTTTTGTATTTTCCCATGTTCAGGAGGAGGAGATGATGGTGGAGGAGGATAAAAGGGAGGAGCAAGATAAAGAAGTGGAAGAGATAGGAGAGTGGGGGAAAGGGTAGCAAGGGAATTCCAGATGCAGAAAACAGCTTGTTAAAAAAAAAAGTTTGTCAAATTATTTGTAAAATGAAAATACTAGAAACTCAGTAATCCAGAATTAGCAACTTAATGCAGAGAATCACAACATACTGCTGGAAAGGGCATGGATGTCCTGTCTTCTAGTCCAAGGCTCTTTCCATTGCATCATACTGACTAAGATTATCTTTGCTTATTTCCAAATACATAATAACTGCCCCCAAAGCCCTACCAGCCCTTAAATCAAGCAAGCCTTATTGAAAGGAGTTTCCTAAGATAAGGGTCTAATAGTACTACTAACCACCTGGCATCCTGTAATCTGGAAAATCCAAATCATAAAAAGCTCACAACGGAAATCTAAGGCTTTTCAAAGCTTTCCGACAGATTTTCTCAGAGGTTTCTGCTCTCTTGAGACACTGATAAACAGAGCCACACTGTGACTACTTAATGTACAGTACGCAAAGATAACTTCGTAAAGGCAGACAGACTGCCACAATAGGTAGTTATTTCCATTAACATACAAAAAGTTCTTTTTAGCTCTGATTTCAGTATTTCACAACAGTTACTGACAATTCATGGAACAAAACCTCACAGATAACCACAGGCTAGTATAAGAAATAGAAAAGAACATGTAAATAAAGACATATAACTCATGATAATAGTAAACATGAAAATACACTCTAGAGTCAAACAAGATTACTAGTGATCAAATGCTGAACTGAGAGATTAAATTGTAAATTCTAGTAAGGTACGGATTTAATTTTGCTAATATATCATATTTTTTTCTGATATTTTATAATACCAAAGTGGAGATAAGCTAGTTCCAGTCATGAAGTGTAAATTCAACTCACAGGGTTCCGGCTACCTTTAAGACGTCAACAATATGCTTAATGACACAGCCATACCTCGGAGATATTTCGGGTTTGCTTCCTGACCACCAAAATAAAGCAATTATCACAAGAAAGCAAGTCACAGAAATTTTTTGGTTTCCCAGTGCATATAAAAGTTACATTTATACTATACTGTCACCTATTGAATGTGCAGTAACAGTATGTCTAAAAAGATAATGTACATACCTTAATTTAAAAATACTGCTAAAAAAATACTAATCATCATCTGAACCGTCAGTCAGTCGTAATCTTTCTGCTGGTGGCGGGTTTGAAATATTTCAAGAATTACCAAAATGTGACAAACATGAAGTGAACAAATGCTGTTGAAGGAATGGTGCTGACAGACTTGCTTGACACAGGGTTGCCACAAACATTCAATTTGTAAAAAAAAAAAATATGCAGTATCTGCAAAGGCCAATAAAGCAAAGCACAATAAAACAAGGTATGGCTGTATTCTTTCTAGGATGTGCAAGGGTTCATTTCATTACTTTTAGAAACAAAAATAGTAGTGTATCACAAAACTTCAAGGTTACTGTCATTTAAATTTACTCATTTATACTTAAACTTTTTTCTCTGAATAAATTTTAATTTTTTAAAGATCCTTGATATCAATATGTCAAAACTGATTTTTATTCTGTTAAAACCAAAAATGTATGTCAACAGGATTCTGAGAAAATAGAATTTT